TATATATATATATATATAGTCTGTATTATTATTTTTTTTTTACCATAATCCCACATGCAGCACGCCATACATTACTGGCCTCTAAACCTAAGCATTTAAATTCTCTTGGTAGTTTGGTTTATAAGCCATTAGATGCTGTCTGATGAAGCATAAGCCAAAGATGACAGCAGAGAGAAGGCATATGAGTTCCTATCATATAGAAGCTTATCTTCCAAAAGCCATGGATGAATAGCATATGAGTTTAAGAGATTATATAATGAGAATATCCATGGCTCTGGAGTCATTTCCATGTACTGTAATGTATCAGGTGCATATCTAGCTTGGTGATCTATATGGCTTATATTAGAGAGCAGCACGGTATGTTTAGCTTGTCCTCTGTCTGAAAATGAACCTTGGGAATTAGGCGAATACATCAACCCACCATTAAACAAATAATTTGACTAAGTCAAATACACAAGCAATCCCTGTTTAAGCCAATTCTAACTCATTCTTACCAAATAACATGATCAAAGTCAAAACAAAGTGTGTCTCAGACGTAGTGATAATGAATCAAAAACAAAAAAGGGTCAATATTGTGTTTGCATATATATTTCTGAAAAAATTAGCCTTGAGAAATATCTATGTAGCCCTATGTACAGCGGCGGACATATTATATATATACCTGGTATTTACACAATGCAGCCACTAGAGGGCTGCGCAGCATACATCATCAAACAGGAGGGCCTGGATGTAGAGGTGCGCACCACTGCAACCAGGCCCTCAGACATTCTAGAAAATCTACTTCCCCGTCAGAAATGAAAGGGGTGTGATATCTGTGGAGGTCTGAAGCAGCTTCCCAAGCTCTCCGCCCACCGAGCTCACGGTTTACTGAGGAGGAACAATTCATGGAATTGTTTTTAAAGGTGAACTGACGTATAAAACAAAACGCATCCGTTGAAATTACATCAATATCTACTATATGCCAATTCCAAGGTCTGCAGCTATATATTAACAAGACAGGCCCCTTGCTTTGGCCTCGAGTTACTATTCCAGTTAGATTTGGCATCTTAGCCCTTTAAAATCTGTGATAATATAGATACTGTATATCAATACATAGGCTTGAGTAAAAGGTGGTATAACAGTGCTTAGGATACACGTGGTAGTAATTAACTATTTACAGGGAAATAAACAATTAAACGAAAGAAAAGGAGAAAGAAAAAACAATTTTAAAATAGAGTGACAAGCCATAATGCAGGCTTGGCGTGATTGACAGTTAGCAGTGTAAAAAGTAGCTAACACATTTAGTGGCTAATTCTCACCTCAAAACCAGGCACCCCAAAGTCCTATCAAAACCTCACTAAAATTACAGACTATGTTCTGGACTCTGCAGTAAACCTAAACAATGACATTTTCCTTCATAGGCTGTAAAGGCCGACAACTTGCTAGCATGTCGAGCGCCTGCATGCGTGAACTGAGCCATGGAGCAGCAAGGTTATTTTTAGGTACTGGAAGCTTTTTGAGAAAGTAGTTGACCATACCTTTGGTGAAAGGTGAAAGGCATGTGTTTGATTTGTATACACATGTTCTGCCTTGGAGAGAAGCAGATGAAAAACAAAAATAAAGATTTTCTGAAACATCAAAAATTCAAAGTAATGTGCAGGCACTGCTTTTGCACTGTCATCCGTACTGTATCTAAATTGTTCTGTGTAAAGGTTACTGTTTCACATAGGTGATGTAAATATAAAACAACCCCAGTAAAACCAAGAGGTAGCTCAACTGAATGGCTAAATGAATAACTGAGTATGTTTGTTGTGTTGGTGTGTGCACGTCACATACACACACAAAATGTCCAGGCATTTGAAGCAGCTGTTTGTTGATTTAAATACAGACAAAACACTGTATATAGGCAGAAGTTGTACTGTGTGTATAGTTTAATTTGTATTATATGAAGTATCCTTGTTAACTGTCTCTCTTAATATCTGCTTGCTCTCCACACAACCTTGGCCTTTAAGCCGAGATAGACTTCTTTAGACGAGACAAACATGAATCCACACACCCAACACATGCACGCAGACACACATACACACCACTTTCTCTCTTCCACGTGCTTCATACTCCACACCTCCATTTAGTCCATCCAGCACATCCTCAGCTCTCTCCCTCCATTTCTACACCCAGGGCTCTTGTCTCCAGCCTCCTCTCTACCACTGAGGTTTCAGAGGCAGCCTCTAGGAGACTTCGCTGCCGAACACCTCCAACACCAGCGGGGTGAGCTGCATGCTGTGCTCCGGCTGGAAGGAGAGCGAGCGGTACTGTTTGGAGTGCTCCTCGTTGAGGCTGCGCAGGTCGGCCAGCTTCTGGATCATCTTGGCATAAAGCAGCCGTCCCCCTGGGTGGTGAAGCTGAATGTAGGCCTGCAGGGTTTCTGACAGTCGGTCTTGGAGGGCTTCGATCCGTGCGTGATCCTGCACACCTGGGCGGTCTGCAGGAGAGGAGATAAGGTCTTAAGATATTTATGGCTGTCACACAAGCTAAAAAGCGGCAGAAATGAATGTTAAAATGGACATGTTACTGGAAAACTGAGGATTAGAAAGTTTGTGTATAGGTTTATTTTGAAATAATATTTATGCAGGTAAACAAAATGTAAAAGTCCAATTGTAAATGAACATAAAATTGTATAATCTTTATGTTTGTATTTCTACCGTTCTGGTTAGGTGGCTTGCTATTTTTAGATCAGGGAGAGCACATCTGTGCATTGTTAATGAGGTGCCTCACATACACAAAGGAATGCAAATATCTACTTAATCACACATGCTTGCTTATACACTTCACATGTATAATGTATGCACTGTATCTTCTGCAAATGCATACCACACGCAAATCTGTGTTCAGAAAAAGACTCATGAGAGACACGAAACCCTTCCAGTAGCACAGACCTGCACCACAATGTGATTTATGTTTGTATCAGATTAAAACAATCCTTCAAATGAACTCTAATCAAAATGTTGAAGTTTATCTTTTGCCGCAATGAACACTATAATGAACATATTGTCTGTTGGAAAAAAAGACGCATGTGAGATCACTTGTGAAGAATATATGATGACCTCTATATGTTCCCTCCTCCACGCAATCTCCTACGGTACCTGGAGAAAGCAAGCAGATGGCCATCAGCAGCACATGTTCCTCCTCTTGCAGGTTGAGCTTCTTCAAGCCCACCTGGAACTTCACCAGCGGCTCCAACAGCTCCAGAGTGTGGCCCGCTATAGAGGACCAAACATCATTAGTCTGTGCTGCACACAGAACCAGCTCCATACTATACCACAGAAGAAATGACCCCTGGGAACTTACTAATTAATATTTCATTCTGCATGTTGGAATCATCTCTGGAGACGGTTTTCTTTGCATGCCGTGCGTTCTCAGGTTTGTTTTTACTAAAAACTAAAGGCTGAGAATGTATTTCATCAGCAAATTTGAATTCGGATGAGTGTATACGCCATTTGTCAGGGGTGGGAGGGGGATTCATAATCATTGATTATCATCACTGTACCTCCATTTCCTCATTGTAAGGCTGGGGCTGTGTATTGAACCTCAATACTGTCTGAGCATTGACGATGAAATTCTGCCTGTAGCATGGAATAGGTGCGCCAAATGCTTTTTGATATTATTAATCTTTGTAATTTATTCTAATTGAATAATAACTTACTTGTGTACTGCATTTTAATTAGGCACTGGTCTTGTACAAGTGTTTGTGTTGAGACAATATTAAACACTGATGCATTTTAAAGATTTGCTTTTTAAAAAGGGTTTGAAGATGAAGTTTTTCCTAGAAAAAATGTTTTTACTAAACAAATGAAGGTATTGAATTGGACATTTTTAATGATACACGACAGTAACTGCCATGTTACATAAAATCTTTCCAATGATCAACCACTGAGAAACAAGGGGCAGCATGTATTTCAAAAACCTTTTTATTTGTCTTGATCTAAAACCCATATACTATTGATTACTGCATGAGAAAACACATCTGTATTCCAGTCATGTTCATGTCAACTATTCATGGATATTTTAAGACGAGAAGCACAACAGAGCTGCTTCTCCTGGTCCAGACAGTGGTTGTTTTGTGTGGTGAACAGGTCAGGAGTGACATTCTTTCACTGATCCCAGAGAGAGGGGTCTTGTTTGAAAGGCAAATGAAAGCCATGCCCACAGGGCTTCTCTGGATATGTAAGACTGGTTTCTCAGAAAAACGTGCTTTAGCATCCTTTTCCTTATCTGTACTCCCACACTAATGATCCAGTCACCTCTTTAACACAGGGCCGCTGCCTTCACGCTCTGAGTAGTGTTAATGTGTAACATACACTTCTTTTCTTCAGCTACCAGCCGAGGAAAATTAGTTGACAAGCATTCATATATATAACTCTAAACACTAGCTTGTCTTCACAGCAGTCAAACTGTACATGTGGCAGCGCATAAACTGACCTTTGGTGACATCACTGATCTGGTATTTAAAATCAGGCCCACCACAGCTCCAGGACATGTCTTCCAGGTTGAAGCTCTGATTTGAGCGCAGCATGATCACCTCAATGGCGCTGGACTTGAGCAGAGCAATCTGGTCCTCTGCAGTCAGCTCCCTGCAGAGAAAGATATCACCTACTAAGTTAGTGAACTACAAATAGTGAGCTATCAAATAATAATGATAATAATAATCTAATCGTTCTCAAACAAGCGTAATCGTGTAGTGTTGATCATGTCGTGTTTAATTTTACAGGAAACTGAAACAGCAACAGGTAAACCACTAAGTTCAAACCAAGTACCTGCCCATTCTGCGTGTTTATGCGTGCGTTAGTTGTATAATTCATTTCAAAGGATTTTGCTTATCAATGGTTTACTGACTACGTGTTCGAGGTCAGTCAAAGTCTTCAAAGTTTATCAGATATATGCTGTGCAGGAAGAAAAATAAACGTTGTTTTATTTCCTCCTGCTGTGATGGGTCCCTGTGTATGGAAAACTCATTTGATAAACAAGTCACACTAAAATCCTACATCAGTAATGTTATGAAATGAGTTTAAATGTTTATAAAATGAAGCTACTGAGCCAGCAGTAGACATGAGCTGAAACCTGCAGATCTTTAGGGTAGGTCTGTGCTGGGAGTGTTATTCGGGGCTTAGGCAGCAGATCATAAGTGGACAAACATTCCAAAGGTAATCCGACCACGTCCATCACTCGCCGCCAGTGGGAACGACAACTTTCAGGAAATACAGGCCCCAACTCGTTTTAGCCTTGACTTTGGGGCGACCCTTGAGACACTGAGTGTGTCAACACACTGACAGACAAACACGTTTTCTAAAAGGCAACAGTTGCCATGTGTGGAAGTTAGGGAAGAAACAATGAAAAGGCCTTGACTTTACAGTAAAATAATGTGCCTTTAAAGGCCTCATAATATTCTATTTACTCTATTCAATCTCCAAGGTTAAGATATTGTATTCTCCTTCACATCTATTTAAGAATCACCCTTATACCCTTTAAGACTTTTTAACAACAGACATTCCTTCCTATAACAGTTCCTGTCTATCACATGCTCTTTGTCAGATAGAAAACCTGAGGGTGCACATGACAGACAGACGGGTGACTGCTCAGTACTAAAGTGTTGCTCTGAGGTTAGGCAATCACTTACTAACACAGTCAAAGAGCTGAACCTCACACTAAGAACATGACTGTGGCAAATGTATAACCTCATCCAGTGAAGGAACAACACAATATAAAAGATTTTCCACAGCGTGTCAGCTATCTGTAATATACAGTCTATCTACGGCCTTTAGACCACAGTCATCGCTGTGGAACAATATCGACTAATCGGTCAGAAAAACAAGTAGGTGTACAAAGTCTTCAACACACATTTAGGTAAAAAGTCACTCACAGATATGTAAATAAAAAATACATGAGGAGGAGTTCTTACAATTCTGTTCATACACTTCTGTTTAGGCAAAGATTTTACCAGACTTCAGTATTTGGTTTCATAAGCACGTCTATTATATATGCAAACAGAAAATCAGATAAACAGTCCTCGGACTTTGAAGCTCAGAAAATATGTACCGAATCCTCTGTGTCTCCCTCTGCTATGCAAAACAGTATAAGCCAAGACCAAATAAATGTAGTTATTATGAAATAATTAATTCTGCTAACAAACATTTTTTCTTGCCATCTTACATTGGTCATTGTTTGCTTTTTTTGCAAGGACACTCACACATACCTGAACCCAGGGATCATCTTGGCAAAGCCAATAACCTTCTGGATGCTATAGGAGACCAGATCAGCCAGGTGGGGCAGCATGGAGAAGCTGGAGCCCTCCTCCTCGCTGGAGTCAGGGCTGCTGCCCTGCTCATGGTACATCATCAGCAGGTTGTTGAAGTTCATTTTGGTGTCTACAGACTCTGCAGTGAAGACAACAGAGCAAGAAGATGCAAGAAGAGAAAAGAGAAGAAGAAAGTAGAAAAGAAGGGAGGGAAAAATGGTCATATGCAGAACGACAGTGCCACACTATTCCTCCATGAATAGACACACAGTGTGCTGGGAAAACCGAGAGAAATCATGGAATAGAGGGCTTGTTGATGGAAATGATCATCTGAGTGTCAGGTCAGTAGGCTTGAGATGAAAGCTTAGATGACAGCTATGACAACATGCTAGCTGGGGTTGTTTTGAGTCATTTGTCTCCGCTGAGTGTTGGCGGTAGGCCACGTGACCGTGTTCCTCGCTGTGTTCACTCCATTAGTGACAGATACATTAATGAACTGATGTTTACTAGTAGGAGTCAGGTGTCTGGGGAGAGTTGTTCACAGAATTTCCACTGAGTTCTCAGTAAAGCAGCGTAACAGATTATATAAGCCAACATGCAAACAGCTGACCTGGAAAAAATACCTGTCTTAAGTCAAAGATGAACTCTCTTGATATTTTTGTCAAAACATGCCTGCCGATTGAGATGGTTTCACTTTCTATTAAAAGTTATGTTATTTCTTTCATAAGTCAGTTATAATTATAGTGAGGTGACAAACCTTATTCTTCCTTGCTTCAATAAAAGATTTGTTTCTAGAGGATTCCTACTAAAGGGTCACTAGTTTAGTCCCTAGTCACTGTTTTCACTCGATTTCAAGTGAAGTCTTCAGAGTGTGTCTATTACCTGGAGAGTGACTGAAGGAGTCAGAGGAGGCATCAGACAGAGAGTGGAGAGAGGCAGCTCTACTGGCGCTTCGCGTCACTGGGCCCTCACGCACAGGAGGCTAGACAGGAGAAAAGGGCACATATAAAGACCCTGGTGGATTCTTATAGTCCAGTCACCAAAAATAAAAACCTAACAGATAAGCCTTTAAGTGGAAATTATTGATGGCGAGGATAATCTTTTACAATGAATCTCACTTCACAATCTTCTTTAAAATACAGCCGACCAATTAGAGTTCATAATTCTGATTGTCATCCATGAATACAGAATATGCAGTATTGTTGAGTATCGGCTGAAAAAGTGGGATTTAGTTACTGGACTTGATTATGGGTTTGTGTGTGTTTTGTGGGGATGGAAATCTGTTATCTGTTGAATGGACAGCAACACTACAGGTTAGATCTATGTCAGGACAGAGGAGTTTGAGTTTCTGAGAAGAAATGGACCACTGGGTGTTTGATTTCTGTGTAAACAATATAAAAACTTGAGAAAAGCTCAAGCAGAAACACATTCTGACGTAAGGAACATTGAAATGCTGCGAGGTTAATGTACCACGAGGTTAATGCAAAGATTGCTGTACTCATTTAAAAGTAATATCAATATTGTTATCTAAAGCAGCATAATTGTTTCTACTGGTCTAACAGTGTGGTCAATCTTCATCATAATCATAACAATATCAGCTGTATTTCTTCACATGAAACCTGTGTTTTTGATGTATGAAAAGCCAATTAAAATAAATCTGACTGCAAAATGATGATATTATAGTAAGAAGAACTGTTGATGAGATTAACTGTATTAAGACACAAACCCTGAAGCGGCAGAAGTCAGAGTAGGAGTCGTCATATGTTTTGTGGTGCGCCTCCACCAGCGTGGCAATGACCTGACTCTGTTCATCAGTAAGCCGTGGCCGCCGCGCCTCCCTCTCCGCTTCACGCTGTGCTTCCTCGTCCTTCCTCCGTTGAATCAGGTCCTTCTTTCTCTGCACTTCCTCATCTGTCAGAATGACTGAAGGTGCAAGTATAAAGAGACAAAGAGGGTTAGACTTATACACACAGGTGCGCACAGAGGAAAAATAAACTTAAGAAAAAACAAGCATGGAAAATTTACATAAGCAGAGTAAAAGCGGGGCAACAAGTAGGGAACAATGAGTTTCAGATAACAAGGTACACCACTTTTAAAGCTTTCCAGTATTGACTTGTGTTTTTAAATTGTGATGACAGCTATGTCAATTTAGTGTTGGGGTTAGGGGGCAGAGGGGGGGTTGTTATTCTCTTGCGGAAGAGAATGGGAGGGGACGGGTCCATATGGAGACCCCTGCTGCACTGAACAAGTGAATGCATTGTCTTTGTTCTGTTCGCTCCTTGTTGTTCTAGCCACTGAATTAGCTCACAGAGACAGAGAGAGAGAGAGAGAGAGAGAGAGAGAGAGAGCTGGGTCTCAACAACACGCTGCTGTTTTTGCAACGGCAATGCCACTGGCTCCTGTTCACGTACAGTAAATCGCAGTGTCTGTGCCACCACTCTTGTGGTGTTCCCAGAAACACTCTGTGGAGAGAACATTCAGCTGGAAATCAGAGGCCTTTGCTTAAAAAGAGGCCTGTGGACAATATCCGGATATCAGGAGAAAACAATAAGGAAACGTACCTGCTATTTACAGACCATGAAAATAAACAAGACTATGTGGAAAGAAGAGGTCTCACTAGATTGTACATAACAGCAGGTGTTTAAACTTCAGATGGAGTATACTTACTGTATACAATGTGGGGAGGCTCCGCTAGTTCAAACAGAATATGTAAACACCCTAATGGGGGCAAAGACCCAGAGATACTTGACCCGAGTCCAAATATTACATAATATATACAAGAGAGACAGTAGGCCCCTAAAACTGCAAACATCAGTTGTGTAAATTTTACTATACATCCCCAAAAAAAAGAAAGAAAAATAGATTTAATGTAATTTACATTCAGTAGATTATATTATTTCATTACATGGGATGGCGGCCTTAGACGAGTCCAGGACACAGTTCTGCTCCATATTTAACAGTGTTGGGCAACCAATTATCCTATTCTACCAATTTATAGCAATTAATTTAATTATTTATAACAAACTGGGATCATCCTGCAAAATGCAAATAACTCCACTATTTAAATGAAAGCAGTAAATCACACAGTGTAAAGTGTTGCCCTGAAGACATATGGGTCACCTTTCATACTTACACTCTTTCATCATGCCAATGTCCACACAGCGTTTGAGCCGGCATGCCTGGCAGTGGCGCCTGTTGTCCTTGGTGATGGTGCAACTGCCGTTAAAGGGACACGTGAAGGCGGCCTTGCGCTTCATACTGCGCCTAAATAAATTGTATACATTTAACAGTCTGCTAAAATACACAGATATATCAGTTTATAAACTTTCAGAGAAGAAGAATTCATTGACGTTATTAAGAATTTTGTAAAGGCTCTACGTGTGTATCTGAACACGTATGCAACTATGTTGATAATGGAGCTCTGTGCAAACAAACTGAATTCAACTTAAATAGTCCTGTGGCACCTTTCAAAGTGTTTTGCGCAAATAATCATTGTAGAACTGGATAAATATTTTTGCCCTTGAAGCCTGGGACTGAGTAAAACAGCATAAATATGGACGAGCGCCAAAGAATCCAGGCGTAAAAGACAAGTCTTGCCAAATGGTGACGCAAACCAAAATGATTTAGTCAGTGATGGACGTGTATATATGAACAATTATACACAGATGTGAGTAAAAACACACAGAAATGCATTCTTGGTGACAGTTCAAACAAGGGCCAGCTGAGAGATGAGGAAGGAGATTATCAAAACATCCGTCTTTTTCATCCTCTCCACCGAAAGGAACAGACGCAAACAGGCAGATATATCAAACACACACAAACTCACAGACTTGCTCTAGTTTTGTCTTTTGTTGAATTGGAGACTCATGTGTGTATCAATGAGCAGGCAGCAGCCAAGGCATTAACTATAGGACCAAGCTCATTTGTATTCTGCACCTGCTGCTGGGCATTAGTGTGAACTCGAATGTTGTCAGTGGTTTGGTGTGTGTTCTTATGCAACTCTGGGTGCCAATTACATTTAATGTGTGAGTGTGTGTGTGTGTGTGTCTGTGTGTGTGTGTGCAGGACCTGTGTTTGTATGCTAATGTGTGTCAATTACTTGGTGAATAATCATCTTTTTGTTTTCAGCAGTATGATATAAGCTATTGTGCTACACAAGGCCTTTTTAGTGTGTGTACATTATGATGGCGTATCTATGACCTCACATATGCATTTATGTACCTGAAAAAACCCTTGCAGCCCTCACAGGTCATGGCGTTGAAGTGGAAGCCGGTGGCTTTGTCACCACACACACCGCAGATCCGCGGCACATTCCTGTCGAACTCATCAGGGGCCAGAGTGGACGTACTCACAACCGTGGACTCCATCACTAAACAAAAAGAGGACAGATGGAGAAAGAAAAATAAGAGACAGAAAAAAGATGAAATCAGCTCCTGGTTATACAAACTTGCTCAATTACTTTATAATCAATCAGCACAAAACAAGAAAGACAGAAAAAAACAAGAATCTGGCCGCCAACTTCTAACATCTGAAGTAAATTTAAGAATATTTAAGTAATAATTAATTAATAAGTTATAATCTGTTCAGTTTTGCACAAGATAGGTGACAACTAAATAATAAAACTAATTGTACATTTCTGTTAATTAACCATCCCATCATTATATTTTTGTTTAAGTGATAATTACAAAGTTGCTGTAAAAACCCTACATCAAGTGAGACACAAGTCTTTCCACCTGTCTCCATACCAACCAGTGTCCCCTCCTTCAGGGACAAATCCCAGTCCCCAGTCTACCCTTTGGAGGTGAACTCAACTCCAGTGTTTTTGTCTTGGGGAAAGGAACCGGAGCCATATGAATCAAGTGGATAAACCCCTTGTTCCCCTCCAAAATGCTGGATCTGGGTTACATTTGATTACATAGTGCTCAGAGTATCCATAAAGAAAAGGCATGTCACCGCAAGGCTAGCATCCTCATAAACAAACAATCACTGTCCTTTTCACAAAGCTCCTTTCTTATTCTTTTCTTTGCTTCCACTGAAGAGTGAAAGCAAAGCAAATGATGGAAGGAGATGGAGGGGCGAGGGAGTGGAGGGGAGGGGAGGGAAACTAAACCAATACAAACCTCAACAAACTCACAAATCAACAGCCAATGAGGTAACGGCCCAGCTGAATAATTTAAAATGTTTTGACAGATCACTCCATCACTCATGTCTAATCTTAAAAAAAATGGCCCTACGAGAAGTCTCATACTCCTGTAAACGCAACAACTGTGTTCTCATTTCTGTTGTTTTTCTACTCAGTACAACTCTGAATTTGAACAGCGTGCCTTTAAACCAAAGTCTGTTTCTGACCACTTCCATTAACAGGACATGTAGTCCTCATTAAAACAAAGGCTCAAAAGAAGAAAGGAAACAGAGGATCTAGTCATTGCTTTACTGCTGCAGGCATCACGGACAGCAGTGACTCGAGCTTCTACTGTATGTTGATGCCTTGTATCATAGCACCACATGCTCCAACCAGGAACATCTGACACAACGACTGTTACAGCTGAGTGAAACAGTAGATACATACACACAAGTGGAAGCAGCAGCAAACACACTGCAAGTATTTGTGGAGGGAATTCGGACCGGCTGGTTGAACTGGATTCAGATATACAACAGAGCACAGAGAAACGGAGACCGACTGATATATCAGTTGACGATACTGGGATATTGCCTCATCGTAGACGTATCAGTAGCGTATGGGCATAAACAGTTTTTCCCAGTAGATAATGCAGAAAAGAAATGCTTGTAGTAATATATTGGTGTCACTGCAAAATGTATCTAGCAGGGTGCATTTACAAATATTGTGACACGCAGCACAGAGTAGGAGATAAGAAGCAGCTCTCAGCAATGGCAACTAGCATTGGTTGACAAAGTATAAGGTAAATTATTTATCAGGAATATTCAACTTAAATATTCCTTAAGAAAGCAGCTTTCTGAGTGTCTTTGCATAGTCGTTTTGCTGCTAAATCGGTGCATAACCATGTAGGAAAACTGCAACAGCTGATGTAAAGAAAACTCAAAGGACAGCAGTAATTTCTCACATCAACTTGTGGGTTAAATCTACACTGTTAACGCTCACAAACAAAACAATTTATCTGCACTCATTGTACATTTACTGACACTCTGCATAGTAACAGGGTCAAAGTTTCTATGAGCAATGTTTTGTTTTGTTAGATAACCAACTAGCCTCCAGTGACTTTCTTCACTTGTCTCATAGTAACTTTCTGTCTTCCACCAACCCTCTCACACGTGTTGAGTCAAAGGTCTCTCAGAAAGACGTACCAGGCAATGAAAGCTGCACTATCATCAATCATATTAAACAAATGTAATGTCTCCATGACAGTGGGTTTATCCACGGACACACATCAAGATAAGGCCTCCGGGCTATTTGCTATACGATAACAGGTGCTGTAGTATGAATTGGCACAGGTAACACTCTCACATCTCACGTAGCCTAAATAATGCGAGTGAATGGAGACACACTTAAACAGAATATTTAGCATAAAAACACATTTCTAAAACAGACCTTTTTCACAGCAGCCATTTTGACATGAAACAGGGTAAACGCAAGTGTTACCAATGATACTAAATAAGGTGCCGTTCTACTCAGATCAGAGTCAGCGTGCTGCTGTTGTGCATGTTGGCTCGTCATAAAGGCTCTGCTACACTAAATGGAACAGAACCTTAATTAGTATAATTGGTAACACCTGTGTTTACCCTATTAGTTCATGTCATGTCTATTGGGATTTATCAAACATTGAGTGTCATGGTTCTCTAATAACACTGATTTCATGGGAAAATACCACTTCTGTCAGCTACTCGATGACACGATTTGTCAATTTGCCAGTCCAAGATGAGTTTTCACAATCATCCAGGACATTATGGAGTCTTGCAGCCTCCTGCAGCGAGGGTATGGAAACTCCCTTGTGTTGGTGCGGCCTACGCTCCCACCCTCAACTGGGGTGTCTGTTAAAAAGTATAAGTTTAGTAGCTTTGTATTGTGAGTTGTTGTATGAGCTGGCCCATAAACACAAAAGTACGGTTATGTGTGATGAAGGACAGTATAAATGTGATAAAATAGACTTTCTGAAGTCCTGCTGATGTTTGGAGCAGCGACACATGATCGACAATGTACATCGATGACACAACAGAAAAGAAACATAAAATTGGTCCTTTTGGCAGGTCTAACAGAGCAGCTACAAAATCTTAATTGCTATTGTGTAATGTAATGTAATGTAACACTGACCAGTATAAATGGCACAGCCTTTTGTAAAACATAAAATCTGTTCTACTGCATGTGGGCAAACTAATCCCACCAGGCATTCACACTCATCACTCACTGTGAACCAACAGGCAAAACACGCTTTTACCTTACTATATCATCAACTGATCAGTGAAGTCAGTCCTCTGTGATTGCATTCAGCCATGACAGGCCATTACACTAAATGCACAGCAGTATTGAGAGACTGCTAAATAATGCAGCAGGTTATTAGACCAGATCAGTACTCATTCCAGTCTCAGGCACGCAGAGCCGGGGAACAGTTTTTCAGCTTTAGGCTCCTACTGAATGCCCCACTCGAGCGATATACATATTTGTGTGTACGGCATTCGGCAGCATCAATCAGATCTGCCATTGCAGTAATAATGCGAAAAATTACTCATGCTTCATGTGTTACACTGGCACAAAGCCTAAGGATAAAACAGTAACACTGTGACGGCTGGCTAATAGAAGCTGATATGTATAATTACAACATTTGATAAGAAGCATCTATTCAGATTGTAACTATTTTACCAATTACACAATCACTGCCATGTGTTTTGAATTGTGCATTGCAGCAGGAGGGACATTATGCTTTGCCACTGACTGAATTAGTTTAACATCTTGGAGTCCAGAAACTTTTGGAGCTAACGACTGTTGAACTCCACACAGTTGGAAGTAAAACTTTCTCAGGTGGTAAACAGATTTGTTGTTCCCTGCAAACAGGAGTGGCAGAAATATGATGTTAAGAACACACTGAGCATACAGACAGACAGTGACAAATGGACTATGCTGCAGGAGGGGTTTCAGATGTTTCTATGGATGTTTCACTATTCTGGTCATCAGATTTACTTTTTCAACATTTTCTTCTCCAAAAACGTGTAACGTGTGAAGCATTTATTAGGTTATGTTTTCTTACATTTCTGTCAAGCCAACTTGTAAACCAAAGCAAGAAACTTCCACCAGCTTTGGTGAGTTAATGAAAGGAAGAAAACCTGTATTATTAGCAATTATAACAATAAAATTTTAGTTCTACCTACTCTGAAAAATGGCAACAACAAAAGTAGAAAAGTAAAAAATAGTATTTCACAACTTCATGAAAGCATGAGAAAACCTAAATGCTGGAAATAAGATAGAGTTGTACTTTAAAAGGTCCCGTATAATGGTTTCAAGACCTCATTTATTTTCATTGGTTTGACATAAAGCAGAATGTCAGGCTAGGACTTTACATTGGAAAAGAATAAACAGATTTAATAAACGAACTGAAACTAGGGAAACAAGACAAAAGTCATTTTCGGTATATGACCTTAAAGCCACACATTAGTCTGTCACGGTTTATGAGCAAGTTCGTCTCTGAATACTAAAAATGTATCATGTAGTAAATCACATAACAATGATATTTCATAAATTCGTTTTGACCTTTATTTTGTGGCCTTTTGTTTATTATTACATAATCCTCTGATCCTGAGGTGATACTGAACACCGCTGACTGGTGACACAAGCTCCCAGACAGCTTGATGTACACCACATTTATTCACAATGCAAACAAGCACTGGTTTTAACTGGTAATATAATTAGGACTTGGGATGGGAACTTCTTGCAATGTAATAACTGTTTGAACAATATGTCCAATTTTCTGACAACTCTAGAAGAGTTAGATAAGAGAGAGTGGGTTCTTAATTAAGAAAACAAAACTTAAATTATATTTGCTAATTATTTCAATGTGATAAAAACAGTAGATTGCTGCTTCTTTGGAGATGAATGTCAAAACATTTTTTTAAACTGCACGTTTTCCTCCCAACAGCTTAAGTGTCACACACGCACAAAAAATAACAAATAAAAACACAAATAAACTGGACATCTGACCTCAGTTTCTGGAATTACTTGCATTTCTACACTACTTGTATTCTCAGATATTTAGTCTTCTTTACAGATATATCATCACAATTATATGCACATAATCTTTAATTGAGAATCCACTTTTGTTTAACTTCTATTAAAAAAACACATTAAGCCAAAGTGTAGAGATTAAGTTCAAGGGTGTGGTTTCATGTTATACTGTATATCAT